TGCTAGTGTCAGCTGAGGGCTGTGTACCATAGGGCCATGTGCTAGTGTCAGCTGAGGGCTGTGTACCATAGGGCCATGTGCTAGTGTCAGCTGTGGGCTGTGTGCGGGGAGACCGTGTGCTAGTGTGGCTGCATGCTGAACTGTGGGCTGGGTCCTGTGAGCCTGTTGTGGCATATGCTGAGCTGCTGCATGGCTGGCTTCCTTTCTAGGAGCTTCGAGAACAACTGGAACATTTACAAGCTCCTTGCACATCAGAAAGTCTCCAAGGAGAAGGTAGAGTGTGTGCAGCCTCCCCTTGGGTCTTGCTGCCTGTCTGCCCTGAGCCCACCCAGACGATGGCAGCTTCAGGGTGCCTGGGAGAGAGCTGGTGCCCCCCACTGAGCAACGAACCCTCCTGTCGTGATCTCCCCTGTGTGCCCAGCCTTGCCCACTGCAGCTCTGGAACTGCTCACCCATGGGTCCCCATGGTCCATGTTCAGAGAGGCGGGGACACTGAGACATGGTTGCTTGGGGACATCTAGGTCAGGTTAAGAGCTGGGGGGCTCTGGGGTAAGGGTTCCATTTATGAAATTTCCCATTGCCACTGAGTCGGCGCCGACTCACAGCAACCCTATAGGACAGGGTAGAACTTCCCCCATGAGTTTCTAAGACTCTAACTCTATACAGGAGTAGAAAGCCTGTCTTTCTCCCCGGAGCTGCTGGTGGTTTCAAACTGCTGGTGCTGCAGTTAGCAGCCCGATACATAAACACTATGTCACCAGAGCTCAACCTACCTACTCCCATCCCCCCAAACCAAACCAAACAAACACCCGGGGAAGGAAATGGTGTTCTTCCATGAAGGCTGATGGAAGACTTGCGTTTCAGTGACTGTGGACAAGGAAAGGGTACTGTCAGTGTGTGGGGATGGCAGGTGGAGGCTGCAGAAGCCAGGCCACCAGAGGAGGGGCCCAGGGGGTGGGGGTGGGTGGGAGGGGAGCTCAACACCGGAGCCCATGAGTGCGCCAGGGAGCTGTTCCTCACTCAGTTGGCTGGGTGACCTGCCTCTCACTGCCAGAATATGGTCCTTTGATTCAGCTCTGCCATCCTCTGAGGCAGTGGGGAGAGGAGGTCCCCAACAAATCATCACAGGTCCGGTAGGTGTAATTGTACAGCGATAATAAGTAAAGATTATAGTAAAGTCATAGCATGAGGGGTAGAGGAGAGATTGGAATAATGGAGTCAGACACAATTCATGGTAGCATGCTCACCTCAGCCCCGCTTGGTGGTCCTCGTGGGGGGAGCCCAGCCACGAATGCAGGAAAGAGCCCCAACTTTATTGCTAACCAAGGGTTATAACTCCTTAGGGGGATCATTACAGGTAACCACACTCACAGGAAGGGGCAATACAATCACATCATAGGAAGGGGATGTACAATAGGCATAAACGTGACGGAAGGGAATGAGCTAGGGGTGTACCCATAGGAATGGGAAGGTCTAGGGTTATACATGTGACAAGATGGGCGGACCCTAGATTCATGATGGCAGCCTAACCTTGGTCATCCTAGGGCGGGTTTGACCTCTCTGGAGTGTCCTACAAGGAAACAGACAACTACTATCCTTATCAGAAGGGAGTGGGCCCTATTTGTTGTGGGATAAACAGTGGCATCTGCTTGGTCTAGATGGCTGATAGTTCTTAGGGAGAATGACCCCTGATCTACTCCTGATGACCTCCAAGTGTATAGTCATTCCCAAGCAGCTAAGTTTGGCATATATTTGGGGGAGACAACTTGGGAGAAATCCTTCTGTTTCCCACATGAGGCCGGCCCTTCCCCGGCCGGTGCTTGTTCCTGGGACTGCACACTCACTCTCACTGCCTTCCTGGGCTGTCCTGCTGCCCACGTGGTGAGGCAGCTGCCCAAGCAGAGGGCTGGCTCGTAGTGCTCAGCGCCTGCGTTGGCAGAGGGAATTTGCTTCCTTCAGCAGTGAGCCCTGGCAGGCATGGTGGCCACTGTGAGGGTTACTGTCTGCCATAGTTTTGCTGAGTGCCCTGCAGTCACCCTGTGAGGACTCCTTCCCAAGTGTCCTGTCTTCTCCAGCCTCTTATCCCAAATGCTGCCAGCACCAGACTGCAGGGGAGGCGGAGGGGTCTCCATCTCCCTTCCAGGATGGGCCTCCATCTCCCTCCCAGGATGGGCCTGGGGCAGGACTGCCTCGGGTGCAGTGAGTGAGGCAGGTGGGCTCCTGGGTGGGGCATCCTGGGACCCACCGCCCCACCCAGGGCTACAGCTGCAGATGCCACAAAGCAATAGAAAGGCCGAGCGAGACGTGCCACACCAGCACAGTTCTAAAGACCCAGGGTGGTGGGGTGGTTACCTGTTGGGAAGCTAATGGCAAGGTCAGCAGTTGGAAACGGCTTACTCTTGTAAGCAGTTACCGTCTCGGGCCCCACAGGGGCACATCTCTCAAGGCCTGGCGTCAGTACCTGAGGTGGTATTTGCTCGATGGCAGTGAGTTTGGCTTGGGTGGTGAGTGTATGCACCCTCATCAGTGGCTTAGCATGACTGATCGCAGGTCACGCAGGTCAAAGGAGCCCTGTTTTGGATGTAGTGGGTGAAATGCACGATGGTATGTATATTGAACACACACGCACATTTTGGGACTTCTGGGTGGTGCCAACAGTGAGATGCTCAGCTGCTCACCCAAAGGTTGGAGGTTTGTGGCCATGCCGCGGTGCTTCAGAAGCAAGGCCGGGTGATCTGTTTCCACAAACTCAGCGCTGACAGGACAGGCTTCTGCTCTCGCCTCCAGGGGGTTGCCGGGAGCCAGAGTCAGCTCTGAAGCGGACTGTTTGGATTTTGGTGCTTTTTGAGTTTCTTCTGGGGTGGGCTCCCCAATAAGTAGGCGCAGCACAGGCGCCCTGTGCTTGCTTACCCATCTGCAGTGGGCCATTCCGCACGTGCTCCCTGGCTGCTCCATCCCTGTCAGAGATTGTAGGATGGGGCTGTGGGATTGGGGAGAGAGCCCCGCCCCCTCCACCCCGTGCTTATTGTGTGCACCCACACACGCTATAGCTACTGGTACATTTACAACAGCCCGGCTGGCCACCTCTGCGGGGAGGGGTTCTGGGGCTGCCTGCCCCGAGGGCTGAGGCTCCCGGTGCAGGCTTCAGCAGGCCCCCATAGCCTGGCCATCGTGGTGACAGCTAGGCTGGCCACCCCGCGCTCAGCCGGGCATGTACAACGCTTCCCCTGGCCATGACAAGAATCTGCCGACGGTGGAAACCACCCAGGGGATTCCAGCTCCTGGCAGCCCTGTCTAGGGTTCCCGAGACTGGCAATCTTGACAGGGCCAGAGAGCCTTGTCTTTCTCGCTTGGAGAGGCTGTTAGGTTTGAACCATCACACTTGTAGTTAACAACCCAAGGCCTAACCCGCAGCGCCGCCAGGGCTGCTTGCTCAGACGAGCAGGCCAGGTGTATCTGTTCCAGGGTAGGGGGTTTGCCTTACAGAGAGTCTCTGGCTGTGGGGATACCTGGGCCCTTCCCCCTGGACGTAGGGCAGGTGCCTCCCCTGCCCACTGTGCCTCATGCTCTTCTCCCCGCCCTCTGCTCTCCCAAGACCAGCTTCTCCCTGGCCATCCTGAACGTGGGCGCCCCAGCAGCTGGCATGAACGCGGCCGTGCGCTCAGCCGTGCGCTGCGCCATCTGCCAGGGCCACACGGTCTACGTCGTGCACGACGGCTTTGAGGGCCTGGCCAACGGGCAGGTAGGTGGTGGCCAGTGTCCGAGGGCCGAGGCTGCTTCCTTGTGGGGGCTGGAGCTGGTGGTTGTGTGGCTTGCGGGTAACTTAGCCCTAGCACGCTTATACGGCGAAGCCACTTGTAACAGCCTGGAATGAAATGAGATGAATGATGAGAGCATGCAGAGACTCTATGTGTGTGTGTGTGTGTGTGTGTGTGTGTGTGTGTGTGTGTGTCTCGGGGGTAGGTAACATCCGGGTGGTGGAGGTGGGGGTGCTGGTGGCCATTCCACCCATGCCCATCCAGGCATCCAGGGTCCTGGACTATGTTTGCAGCCCTGGTCTCCAGTGCAGTGAGCCTCCCTAACCCGAGCCTCCCTGACAGGTACAGGAGGTGGGCTGGCATGATGTGGCCGGATGGCTGGGGCGTGGTGGCTCCATGCTGGGGACCAAGAGGTGAGGTCCAGGCTCTCTGGCTGTGTGGCATGGTGGGCGGGCACTCGGGGGATCCTGGCATGGTCTCCAGGTTATGTGGCTGCCTGGAGAAGGCAGCCTGAGGCCTTGGGGAGGGCCCCCTCCCGGGAGGGCCCCCTCCCTTCTGGGGAGCATGTGTTCTGTCCTCAGATGGGGGGCCTTCCTGAGGGAAGCTCACCTGACTAGGGGCCCTGGGGGGTGCTGCTCAGGGAACCCCAGGCCTACAGTGCCACTGGGCCTTCTCCCCTGGGGACAGGAGGGAGTAGAGTGTCCACGCATGTCATTGCAGGGCCCGGTGGTCTCTGTCACCCCAGCTCGGGGATGGTGGGGTGCAGGCAGCCATGCGGCCTGAGAACCACTCTGGAGTGGGCAAGGGGGACACCGTTGGCCTGTGCAGCTCTGGAGCTGGCTGCCTCCCGCCCCTCCATCTGATTGACTAGAAAGGCCGAGGAGGCATCCCACCCCCACCCCCCACCCCTTCGAACTCCACGGAGAAGCCAAAGCCTCAGAAACAAGAGCGGCAGCTTCAGTGGCTGACCCAGATTCTGGGCCCCTCAGCACAAAGCCTGGCACGGCAGCGGGGGCAGGGAGATCCTGACTGCCCTTTCCACCTAGCCTAGGAGGGACCTGGGGCATTATACCCCACCCCCTGCCCCCAGGGGCTGAGCCTCCAGCTTCTCTTCTCTGAAGTGGGCATCGCTGCACCTTGGGGTTCCCGAGACTCCTTGGTGTTGGCATGGCCGGGCACGGTCTATGCTGCGGTTGGAGGGAATGTGAGGTGTGTCCTTCCAGCCTGGGCTCACAGCTGGCACCCGGGTCCCCGAGTGCTCATGCTGTGAGTGTGCCTGCCTGCAGGACCCTTCCCAAGTCCTACATGGAGAAGATCGTCGAGAACATCCGCACCTACAACATCCACGCCCTGCTGGTCATTGGCGGCTTTGAGGTGAGCCGACTGCCCCAGGGATGGAGTGGTGGGGCCAGGAGACCCCAGGAGCAGCCCCCTCCCTCTGCCTGGGGCCCCTGAGGTGATCCTTCCAGAACACCTTGTGTGGGGAGTGTTCCTCAAGCCTGCAGGGCTGAGCAGGGGCCCCTCAAAGTAGCAGGGGGTGGGGTGCAAAGTTTCACCTTCTCAGAAGAGTTCACCAAGTCCCCATGAGTGCTGGCAACTGGCGCTGGGGAGGGAGGCCCAGGGAAAGGGGAGGAGCACCTGCTTCTTAGTTCTGAGCCTGCTTCTGTTGTGGATGGTGGCATGGGCGGCCTGGGGCAGGAGAGGCCAGAGCGTCTGGGCCCAGCCTGTGTCTGTACAATTCAGGATGGTCCAGGTGCTGGTCGCGTCAGGTTGGCAAGCCCCTGAAAACCACGAGTAACCCATGGCTCTTCCCTGCCAAGCCCATTGAGGCTGAGGGAGAGGAGCCCTATCCAGGGTCCTGGGCAGGAAGGAGTCCACAGAGCACCCCAGGCCCAGGGGAGGGAGGTCACTGAGCTTCAGGGTGATAGGCCTGGGGCCCTGTCTGAGCCTGTGCCCCCTTGGGTGTCCTCCCAGGCCTACGAGGGCGTGCTACAGCTGGTGGAGGCACGCGGGCACTACGAGGAGCTCTGCATTGTCATGTGTGTCATCCCGGCCACCATCAGCAACAACGTGCCTGGCACCGACTTCAGCCTGGGCTCCGACACAGCTGTCAATGCCGCCATGGAGGTTCGGCGCAGGGCACCCACTTGCTGTTGCCCCCATATACACCACCCCCACTGCCACCCTGGAGCCCCTCCTGCAGGCTTTGTCTGCCTGCACCCCACTCTTGAGTCCATCACACCTTGACTGCTGGGGGCACCCCTCATGTGGCCACCTTGGGGACATTCAGAGCCAACTCGCTCCCCCGGAGATATGGGGAAAGTCTGAGCCTCAGAAACCCCCTAGAATGCCCTTAGGGGATTTTTGCACCCCAACCTCCCTTCCTGGTGCCTCCGGGCATGGTGCTCCCCCTTTGTGGGAGCCCCTACTGATGGGCACAGTTTCAATAACTAGAACATGCCTGGCTCTAAAACTCCTGCAGGGGGAATGATTCTTCTCACAGCCCACGGCCCTGCCTTCTCCAGCCCTGCCTGCCTCCCCTCCAGCCCAGGGGGCTGCATTACTACGTGGGGAGACTGGGGCTCCGCACCTCTTGCTGTGGGGTGGGGGCCCGAGGGTCCCTGACGGCCCTGTGGCCCCGCAGAGCTGTGACCGCATCAAGCAGTCAGCGTCAGGGACCAAGCGCCGTGTGTTCGTGGTGGAGACCATGGGAGGCTACTGCGGCTACCTGGCCACTGTGACGGGCATCGCCGTGGGCGCCGACGCAGCTTACGTCTTCGAGGACCCATTCAATATCCAAGACCTAAAGGTGCCCCTGGCCCCCAGCTCATGCAGAACACCTCCACGGCCCACCCCACTGGCTAGATCTTAAGGCATGCTCAGGTCTGCCTTCACTGGGCCGGGCATGGGCCCTCTGTGTCAGACCCTCCCTCTGCAGAGACCCCAGCCCACCCCCCACCCCCATGCCTCTCAGCTGTGGCCCTGCCCACCCTGCATGGCCTCATGTCCAGTCACCACCCTCAGCTGAGCAGACTCTTCCCAAAGTGCCGGTGCTCAGCCTCAAGCCCTGTACACACTCCCTGCCCCCATGCCTAGCACCCTCCCTGCCCCTCATGCTCCCATGCTCATTGCCTCTCCCCAGGTGCCCCTGTGCCACACTGCTTCCCTGCCCATTTGTCTAAATCTCCCCAGACAGCTCTGTCCCTTCCTGACCCCTGTGTGGCCCCTCCTTCCCTTCAGGCCAACGTGGAACACATGACGGAGAAGATGAAGACCGAGATCCAGAGGGGCCTGGTGCTTAGGTGCGACTGCTGGCTCTGGGGCACGGTGGGGGCAGTGGGGGG